TAATAGATGAGATAATAATAAAAACATTTCCATTTTATGTAGAAAAATAGTGTTTAATATGTAAATCAAATACATTTATAAAGATTTGTATTTTTTATATATTGTTTATAAAGCACTAGATGAAATGTACTGAATTTATGTTTTTGTTTCTTTTCAAAGGAATGGCAGAAAAACTGAATCCTTTGTGGCAGCACTTCAGTCAGCCAACAACACCAGGCACTGTTAATGTTTTGTTTGTTTATTAATAAAAAATTTTACGTTGAGACCTGTGTAACATTTGTTATTGATATCATTGTTAATGGAGGAAGAAAAGTTAGTATCGGCTTCAAGAATCGGCCCAAAAATATCGGCTGCTCGTATCGGCGTATCGGTTAGACTGATTTTTAAAAAATCGGTATCGGTATCGGCCTTCAAAAACCTGTATCGGTCGATCTCTATTTTAAACTATAACTGTTTAATTCTGGTCATTTTGTTTTGAACCTTAAAAAAATGTTTCAGACATTTGTGAACTGAATTCACACAAATGATGATGCAAAGAAGGATTTAACATAAAAATCCTCTTCATCAGACTGTCATAGAAAGACAAAGTGTCTTCAGTCGGAGGCTTCTTCAACTTTGCTGTAATACAGACCACTACAGAAGATCTTTCCTGCCCACAGCCATCAGCATCTACAATAATTCTTTAGTTAAATGAGTTACAACAACATCTAATGTCCATCTGGGATCAATAAAGTAATTTTGAATCTAACTGAATTGAGTCAGTGATTATTTCCTAAATATTTCTATTCTAAAGGTGAGTCATGGAAAAAAGGGTCAAGAATAAAAAAAAAATCAGTTGCATGACTGCAGTAAATCCCAAATCTGTTTCAATTCTGCTCAGCAGAAATCATTTTTATTACAAATATGATTCATGTATTTTGCATTATCACCTGGCCTGGATTAGCCTTAAGCACTTAGAGCTGAAAAAAAAATTTCAACGTATAAAATAAATATTTTGATTTAACAAAAATCCAAATGATTTATTGTTTTCCAACTCTTTTAAGAAAATATTCTGCAGAATAACTGATAAACAAATGAATCATTAGCTACTAAGTGCAGCTGTGAGCTGGCTGGTTTTATGACCTTGTCCTACTTTGGAGGATTTATTTCTTCTCATCTGTCTCTGTCTGCGTGTCTAACTGTTGTCTTGCAATGCGATGCAGGACTTACTGAGACAGGTGTTGTGGGTAAAGTCGCGGTGGAAGGCATCACACTCCTCCTGATGACCGGCACCCCTGCAGGTGCACCAGAGACTGATGGTGATGTTGGTGGGGCTGTTGTCGCTGTAGTTTGGCGTTACGTCTGAGCCTGAGATGAGACAAAGACAAAAGGGGGGGGG